CCAGGGAGCCAAGTGATGTGGCTTGGCAGTTCCCACCCCCATGAAGACCAGCAAGCTAAGATCCACTGGCTTGAAATTCTCCCAGCAAGCACAGCAGTCTGAGCTTGACCTGGAATGTTTGAGCTGGGTGTGGGGAGGAGCATCCACCATAGCTGAGACTCGAGTAGGCAGTTTTAATCTTACAGTGTAAACAAAGCCCCTGGGAAGTTCGAACTGGGTGGAGCTGACAGCAGCTCAGCAAAGCCTCTGCAGGCTGACTGTGTCACTAGACTTCCTCCTCATTGGGCAGGGCTTATCTGAAAAAAGGCAGCAGTGCATCAGGGACTTATAAAGGCCTATCTACCTGGGACAGAGGACCTGGGAAAAGAGGCAGTTGTGGGTACGGCTTCAGCACACTTCAACATCCCTGCCTGACAGCTCTGAAGAAAGCAGCGGATCTCCCAGCACAGTGTTTGAGCTCTGATAAGGGACATACTGCCACCTAAAGTGGCTCCCTGACCCCCATGTATGCTCACTGGGAGATACCTCCTCTCCCAGTAGGGGCTGACAGACACCTCATAAAAGAGAGCTCTGGCTGTCATCTGGCAGATATCCTTTGAGGACGAAGCTACCAGAGGAAGGCACAGGCAGCAATCTTTGCTGTTCTGCAGCCCCAGCTGGTGATTCCCAGGCAAGCAGGGTATGGAGTGGACCTCCAGCAAACTCCAGCAGACCTGCAGCAGAGGAGCCTTTAGAAGGAAAACTAACAAACAGAAAGAAATACTTTGAACATCAACAGAATGTATGTCCACTCAGAGACCCCATCCAAAGGTCACCAGCTTCAAAGACCAAAGGTAGATAAATCCACCAAGATGGGAAGAAACCAGTGCAAAAAGACTGAAAATTCCAAAAACTAGAATGCCTTTTCTCCTCCAAGGGATCACAACTCCTCGCCAGCAGGAAAACAAAACTGGCTGGAGAATGAGTTTGGTGAATTGACAGAAGCAGGCTTCAAAAGGTGGGTAATAACAAACTTGTTTGAGCTAAAGGAGCATGCTCTAACCCAATGCAGGGAAGCTAAGAACATTGAAAAAAGATTAGATGAAATGCTAACTAGAATAACCAGCTTAGAGAAGAGCATAAAAACCTGATGGAGCTGAAAAACACAGCACAAGAACTTCGTGAAGCATACACAAGTTTCAATAGCCAAATTGATCAAGCAGAAGAAAGGATATCAGACATAGAAGATCAATGCAATGAAATAAGTGAGAATACAAGATTAGAGGAAACAGAGTGAAAAGAAATGAACAAAACCTCCAAAAAATATGGGATTACATGAAAAGACCAAATCTACATTTGAATGGTGTTCCTGAAAGTGAGGGGGAGAATGAAACCAAGTTGGAAAATGCTCTCTGGGATAATATCCAAGAGAACTTCAGCAACCTAGCAAGGCAGGCCAACATTTAAATTCAGGAAATACAGAGACCACCACAAAGATACTCCACGAGAAGGGCAACCCCAAGACACATGATCATCAGATTTACAAGGGTTGAAATCAAGGAAAAAATGCAAAGGGCAGCCAGAGAGAAAGGTCAGGTTACCCAAAAAGGGAATCCCATCACACTTAGTGGATCTCTCGGCAGAAATGCTACAAGCCAGAAGAGAGTGGGGGCCAATATTCAACATTCTTGAAGAAAATAATTTTCAACCCAGAATTTCATATCCAGCCAAACTAAACTTCATAAGCAAGGGAGAAATAAACTCCTTTACGGACAAGCAACTACTGAGAGATTTTGTCACCACCAGGCCTACCTTACAAGAGATCCTGAAGGAAGCAATAAACATGGAAAGGAACAACCAGTACCAGCCACTGCAAAAACATGCCAAATTGTAAACACCATCAACACTGTGAAGAAACTGCATCAACTAACAGGCAAAACATCCAGCTAGCATCATAATGGCAGGATCAAATTCACACATAACAATAGTAACCTTAAATGTAAATAGGCTAACTGCCCCAATTAAAAGACATAGACTGGCAAATTGGATAGAGTCAAGACCCATCAATGTGCTGTATTCAGGAGACACATCTCATGTGCAAAGACACACGTAGGCTCAAAATAAAGGGATGGAGGAATATTTACCAAGGTAATGGAAAGCCAAAAAAAAAGCAAAGATTACAATCCTAGTCTCTGATAAAACTCACTTTAAACCAAACAGAAGATATACATGAGGCCAACAAACATGAAAAAATGCTCATCACTGGTCATTAGAGAAATGCAAATCAAAACTACATTGAGATACCACCTCACACCAGTTAGAATGGCGATCATTAAAAAATATAGAGACAACAGGTGCTGGAGAGGATGTGGGGAAATAGGAACACTTTTACACTGTTGGTGGGAGTGTAAATCAGTTGAACCATTGTGGAAGACAGTGTGGCAATTCCTTAAGGACCTAGAAATAGAAATTCCATTTGACCCAGCAATCCCATTACTGGGTATATATCCAAAGGATTATAAATCGTTCTACTATAAGGGCACATGCACACACGAATGTTCATTGCAGCACTGCTTACAATAGCAAAGACCTGGAACCGACCCAAATACCCACTGATGATAGACTGGACAGGGAAAATGTGGCACATATACACCATAGAATACTATGCAGCCATAAAAAACAATGAGTTTGTGTCCTTTGTAGGGACATGGATGAACCTGGAAACCATCATTCTCAGCAAACTGACACAAGAGCAGAAAATCAAACACCACATGTTCTCACTCATAGGCGGGTGTTGAACAATGAGAACACATGGACATAGGGAGGGGAGCACTACACACTGGGGTCTGTTGGGGGCAAATGGGGGAGGGACAGTGGGGGGTGGGGGGTGAGGAGTTGGGGAGAGGTAGCATGCAGAGAAATGCCAGATATAGGTGAAGGGGAGGAAGGCAGCAAATCACACTGCCATGTGTGTTCCTATGCAACTATCTTGCATGTTCTTGAAATGTACCCCAAAACCTAAAATGCAATAAAAATTTAAAAATAAAAGTAAAAAAAACCAACAAACATGAAAAGAGACAAGAGCATTCCATAATGGTAAGGGGATCAATGCCTACAACATCAGGACCCTGGGTTTCTAGCACAAAACTGGGTGGCCATTTGGGAAGACACCAAGCTCACTGCAACATTTTTTTTTTCTTTACCCCAGTGGTACCTGGGTATAGAAACAACAAGAAGAGTTAACTATCCTAAATCTATATGCACCCAATACAGGAGCACTCAGATTTGTAAAGGAGGTTCTTAGAGACCTACAAAGAGACTTAGACTCCCACAGAATAATAGGGGGAGACTTTAACACCCCACTGTCAATATTAGACAGATCAATAAGACAGAAAATTAACAAGGATATTCAGGACTTCAACTCAGCTCTGGACCAAGTAGACCTAATAGACATCTACAGAAATCTCCACTCCAAATCGATGGAATATATATTCTTCTCAGCACCATATCACACCTATTCTAAAACTGACCACACAATTGGAAGTAAAACCCTCCTCAAAAAATGCAAAAGAATGGAAATCATAACAGTCTCTCAGACACCAGTGCAATCAAATTAGAACTCAGGATTAAGAAACTCACTCAAAACCACAAAACTACATGGAAACTGAACAACCTGCTCCTGAATGTCTACTGGATAATAATGAAATGAGGGTAGAAATAGAGATGTTCTTTGAAACCAATGAGAATGAATACACAACATACCAGACTATCTGAGACACATTTAAAGCAGTGTGTAGAGGGAAATTTGTAGCACTAAATGCCCACAAGGGAAAGAAGGAAAGATCTAAAATTGACACCTTAATGTCACAATTAAAAGAACTACAGGAGCAAGCACAAGCCAATTCGAAACCTAGCAAAAGACAAGAAATAACTAAGATCAGAGCAGAGCTGAAGGAGACAGAAACTGAAAAGTTTCTTTTTTGGCACATTCCCAACTTTGACACAATAGCAAAGTGGCCATGACAGGACCACACTCACACTCTTCCAGCTGATCCCAAGAAAAGAAACTATACCAAGAACACCAGTGAAAGTCCCATGGATGTGTCTAGTTGGCCTTGCTTGGGTCATGTGCCTGGAGGTGGTACTGATGGAAAGTAGAAATCATTCCTGGCTACAGGTGAGGTACACGCCCATCTCTGGAAGGTGTAATTTATGGTACCTTGGCTTTTTTTGGGTAATAGCTTTGAGATATAATTCATATACCCATATATCACTCATTTAAAGTGTACAAGTCAATGGTTTATAGCCTATTCCCTGTTGCACAGCCATGGCCACAGTCAATTTTAGAACATTTCCAGCACCCAAAAAGAAATCTCATGCCCATTAGCTGCTGCCACTCACTCCATCCCCCAGACCCCAGTGACCTTTAATCTACTTTGTCTGTTTGATTTTGCCAGTTCTGGACACTTCATATAAATGGCATCGTGCGATATGTGATCTTTCAGAGTTGGGCTTTTTCACTTAGCGTAATGTTTTCAAGGTTCATCCATGTTGCAGCTTGTTACCTTGCCTTTTAATGCCCTTAAAAGATCTTAAATTATCTGCCTCCTGCCTGTCTCTCTGTTCTCATGTCATTGCTGTTTTTACTTCTCTGCTGGGTTCCACTTTAAGCATGCAGCTGCTTAGACACTTTTTCACTTAGATAAAGGCCAGAAGGTGACATGAAGACCAAGGGAAAACCAGATTAGATTAAGAAATAGGATCTACAATATAGGCATTATTTTAATGTTTTGCAATAAAGCAACAGTGTAAGGACCCAACACTTTATAACCTGCTTGCTTCCCCTACAATAAATGTGTTTTATCTTGGGTTAAAATAGGCCCTGGCTCTGCTGGGATAATCCATGTTGCAAAACTTCTGCCCCATGCTCCCTTGAGGTGTGCTCGTGAGATGCCACGTTCACATTTTGGTTTGGAAGGTATAGTCACCACATGGTTTTTCTCTCCCCTGCCATCCTCCAGGAGAGTGAAGAAGAACTTTACTCCTCCTGTCGCCAGCTGAGGAGGCGGCAAGAAGAACTGAACAACCAGCTGTTTCTGTATGACACACACCAGAACTTGCGCAATGCCAACCGGGATGCCCTGGTTAAAGAGTTCAACGTTAACGAGAACCAGCTCCAGTTGTACCAGGAGAAATGCAACAGGAGGTAGGTCAGCCCCTCCACCTGCAAATCCTTGGGGGCTCTCTAGGCACAAGGATGTTGGACACCGGAGGCCAGGCTTCTGGAAAGCCCTCTGAGTTGCTTCTTTAGAAATCCTTGGCCAGGCACAGTGGCTCACGGGCCAGGCATGGTGGCTCATGCCTGTAATCCCAGGACTTTGGGAGGCTGAGGCAGGTGGATCCCCTGAAGTCAGGAGTTAAAGACCAGCTTGACCAATATGGAGAAACCTGTCTCTACTAAAAATACAAAAATTAGTTGAGCATGGTGGCAGGCGTCTGTAATCCCAGCTATTTGGGAGGCTGAGGCAGGAGAATTGCTTGAACCCGGGAGGCAGAGGTTGCAGTGAGCCAAGATTATGCCATTGCACTGTAGTGTGGGCAACAGAGGGAGACTCCTCTGTTGTCCCCCACAAAAAAAAATCCTTTGGCACTCTTGACTCTAGTTCTCTTTGCTCTAAAAATTAACTTACAGTGATACCTTCAGCACTTACCACTTCCCTAAGTAGAACTGTTTCCTCTAGAAGGACACTTCAATTTAATAGTGAAAATAAATGAAAACCACTAACTTTTAAGGAGTCCTTATTGTGTTCCCAAGAATGGGTTACACCAGTGGTTCTAGACTGGGGCAAAATCCCCCAGCAGAGATGCTTCTGGTTGTGCTACAGGCACATAATGGGGTGTGGGGCAGCCAGGGTTGCCAAGTGTTTCACAGTGTGTCTGAATGTCCCGAGAAACAATGATCCAGACAAAAATGCTCACAGTGGCCACCAGTGAGACACACTGTGTTGCCTGCCTTACGCACATTATTCTCCGTTAATCTTCATGTTAGCCTGCAGAGTAGCTCTCACTCTGTCACTACTGGGGAGATTTAACCTCTCTGAGTCTCAGTATCTTACCAGGAACTTGGAGCCTGCCTCTCTCACGCTCAGCCCTATACCATCCAGCTGTGAATGACTGGCAGATGTGTGGATAGAGGAATGTTCCGGAGTTCAGCACACAGCCCTTTTCTCATGCTCCAGTGCTGACGGTGAAATCTGTTTTATTTTAGGTTGAGAGAGAAGAGAGTCAGCAACAGCAAGTTTTACTCGTAAAAGCTGGGGCGTGTGTGACAGGGCATTGTGTGTTTGCATGTAGGAGAATGTGCTGTATTCACACTCTGGGAAGACGCTAATCTGTGACATCTTTTCTTCAAGTCTGCCATCAAGGTGACATCTCTGAAGACCCAACTGGCATGAGTGGGGGTAATTTCCTGTTATTATTTTCATCTTGGACAACTTTCTTAACTTATATTGTTTATAGAGGATTCCCCAAAACACGCTCCTCATTTTTGGCCTCTCATGTTCCAAGCCTCATTGAATAAAAGCAGTGAAAACCTTGGTCAGTTAAGCCTTCTGTTGCACGATCTATACAGTGAACAGGATTTCCTTTCCGGCCAAGAAGTTTCTACCACACTCACGATTCAGGTAATGGACTTCCACGGAAAATGAACTAGAAATCTAAGAAACTATTCATTAGGTTCTGAAAAGGATTTTAACTAAAAGGGAAATGATTCTATAAGGGCCCAAAGAGAAGCCCTTACCCGCAGGCAGCTTGCTCAGTTCAGTGTACTTGAACTACCACCGGCTGCCTGCTGCAGTCCACCAGAACATGGTTGAGTGATGGAATCTGTTCATTAAGATAATTTCTAATTAATGGTCACAGCTTGTTTTGTGACTAGAGTTAGTGGGATGGAGGTGGGAGTCTTGGGCCTCTTTGTTTTAAAAAGCCCATCAGAGAGATCAGAGCCTTGCTGCAGGGGCAGGCTCTCACTTACTCCGGGCTCCTGGCTCTGCCAGCTGCTGGGAGGCTCCTGCCCCACTTATCCCCCATGGCCCTACTAAACTGTCTGGGAGGCTGCTGGAATGGCACTCGGTCCACAGCTCACCACAGACAAGAGGCCAGTTGCTGCTTGAAAGAGGTAGACAAAAGTTAGTTTTATGGCAGAATGTCTCTGGGTTTCCCAGTTTTCTGGAGCAGCAAGCTGAGCTTTAATGAGCTAAGCATTAGGGCGTTACAGAAAATTTCAAATGCAGCAATCTCCCTTTGGGCAAACCTTCCTAGTTCATGATAATACATGCGGGTGGCGAGGGCTTTACACCTCTGCATCTTAAGGTATGAATACACATCAATAATAGAATACGGCTTTTTCAAGGAGAGGAGAGTGCTGGATTGGGAAGGGAGATGGTTGGTAGAGTCACAACTTCTCAGTGAGTGAACTGACAACTGATGGAAAAACAGGTGTAATTGTGAAAAGCCATGGCTGCAGTGGCAAAGAACAAGCCATCAGTAAACCTGATACTGGCTGTGGATGCAACTGGCCTCTAGAAACCCATCTGGCCTTCCTCTTATTATCCAAAATGCTGGGCTTAGCATACATATATTGCTGAAGAGCAGGGCAGAACAAATCAGGCTCTGACCAGAACACCCATCTGGTGCCTTGATTCTACAGAAACTTATTGATCACCTCCACATGCCAAGTACAGTGCCAAGATCTGGGGGTACAATGTTTTTAAAAAAAAAAAAGAGAGAAGAAAGCTATAGGTCTCATCAATCATCTCCATCTGCGAGCTCCTCAAAGAAAGGCATCTACCTTCCCTGAAGTCAGGAATACAGGGAACTGCAGTCTGGCCAAGGAAGTGTTGTTACCTGGTGCTATCCCTCCAGTGACTCCGCGAGCTGGGAGTTGCTATTTTATTTGGCAGTCAGCCATTGAAGAAAGAACATTCCTCTTAGTGGCAAAGGTTCAAAGCAATGTTCAAGACAGGTTGGGTGAGAAAGGCACTGGGATGGGTGCCACAGGCACTCTGTAGCCAGGGCCCCATTAGCTGGTGGCCAGGTAGCCACCAGAACCTACTGATTGCACGTGGCATCTTCTCCAACCCCTTTCAGCTCTGCCATTACCTCCTTTCAGCTCCCCACTTCACTCTGCTTAAAACCACAATGCTAAGACCTGCATCCCCTTTCTGCCCAAAATGGATTTTTGGCTACCATATCAAAGAAATTGTCATATGGCAGCATGGGAAGCAGACGCCAAGCCTCTCTCCAGCTCCTGCTGTGTAAAATCCATGCGCGGCCAAAGAGCAGTCAGGGGATTATGACATAAATGGCGCTGGGAAGAACCCTCTGCCTAAAACCGTTGGCTTCTCCTGGTGCTACAACTGGAATCCACCATTAGAGAGTACTTGCTTTCGTTCCTTCCTCCTGTCCTTGATAGGGTAACATGTTAATTTGGTTCTAGGTGGTGGCAGGGACCAATTGTCTCAGAAAAGGCACAGAAGGTATCATGGTTCTTCCCAGAGTCTGTCTGATGCCACATAACTTCAGTACCTAGCTGAGATGTGCTTCCTACATGACTGTTAAAGCACTGACAATCCAGGCCAAGGAGACTAGTAGCAGGCACGTTCTGAAAGATGGAAGCAGCATGGATAGATGTGTGATATTGTGCTGGCCTAGAGCCAGAACCAGAGCAAAACTATTTTATAAAATGCAAAACTGTTTTTAGATAAGTTGAAATGGCTGCCCCATTCTCCTCACAATAACTACTGTCCTTGGCCTCTGTAAATAGAACTGCCAGTTTGTTCTTCAAAACTATGTAAAGCTGCTTACCTTTTCTTATCAGTAACTGCCAGAATTGCTAGCCTTTGCTTACCGGCAATTGCCAGACTAAGCAGCCCAAGCTAGTTCCATCCTGGCTCCTGTGACTTGTAATAAGTAACTAAGGTCTGTGATTTCCACCTTAACCCGATAATGTGTAAACAAATGTTTATCTTGACTTCTGTAAACCACTTAAGTAACAAACGGAATGACAAAAGTCCCCTGGCCCTTGGAATGTCCGGAGACCCCCACCCTCATCTCTGCTCAGGAGGTAATTTACAGAATCCACTAGCCCTCGGAATGTCCGAAACCTTTTCATCCCCATCCCCGCCCCTCACCCCCACTCCCAAGGTGGTTTTTCGGGTATAAAAAATCGTGGCACCCTCCTGTTGCCACCACAGGTTGGAGAGACGTGAGTCCTCTGTGGTCGCCAGCATAATAAATGACCCTGCAATCTGGCATACTTTTGTCTTGTGATAACTTTCTATGCTCGGTCAAATACAACAGATGTGAGCCACAACTGCATCTGTGTTACACTTTTTTTCCACCATTTTCCTAGGTGTGTTATTTAGAGTATTAGGTATTACATGGAAAAATAAAGTGGGGAGGCTGGTTAGGCCTTGTGAGTTTTGAAAACTTAGGTTGTACAAAGCTAAATAGTTTTTCCACTGTGAGATTAGAGTAGAACGGGCAAAGTGTGGAGGGTCACATTTTCCAAATGTGATCTCAGGATCCTTTTGCCAGAACCGTCTCATTGGACTTATCTACAGTGGAACACATTTGCAGACCTGCTGCTCTATTACGAAGGCAGCCGGGCAGCATGGTCTAATACTTTGTATGCTTTGCGACCTAGTTAAAATCTAAAGTGAAGCCGCCAAGGCCAGTGGTCTTCAGATTGAGCTAGCCTTACCCCTGGGAGTATACCAGAGCTTTCTAAGGAACGTACAGGCTTCCATACTCTCAAGGGAGCGGTGTTCAGAGCCTCTCCTTCCTATTGTATTCTTCCCTAAGACTCATCTGCATGAGCAAATGCCCTTTTCTCACCTTAAGGCTCTCTCCACCTCCAGTCTTATTGTAGAGCGTGACCCAAGGTGGAAAACTCAAAATGTGGATATTTGGAAAGCCAAAGGCTTAACAGCAGGGCACAGATCCTTATGCAAATGGATTTTCCAATATTTTCTAGTGATTCCCAATTCTTTGCTTTCAACAAAGTGGAAGGAACAACAGATTTCTGAGTCTCTTAGCATGTAACTACGAAGGGGTTGGAAGGATCAGTGATTATGCTATCATAAAACTTCCATTCCCATTGACATATCTGTGTGAAGAAGGATGAGCACCTCCATACATGACATTGAAAAGGGAAAACAGAATCGATGATGAACTTTGGCTCATTCTCAAGATGATACCAATCTACAGAGATGAAATAATTGTGGAGAACAGCCCTTTCATCTCATTAAGTGATACCTTTCCAAAGAAGTTTTACTATGTTTAATAACTTAGTAAAATTTATGCCATGTGTTCACTGATTCAGCTCAATCCAGAAGAAAATTTTTAAAGGCTTACAGAGTCTTAGGATTGTAGGATACTATATAATACTTTTGGTACAGAGACAGAATTAAACAATATAAAAATCATAAATTTATTAGGCTAAAATTCTGAGGGAGAAGTGGTATGAAAATAAAAATTCAAGGAGCAAAAGGAAAAGTGGGGCATTCTTTGCTATTAAAAATTAGCTTGTTCCAGGTAAGACTGATCATAAAAACATGGTCCTGTTCATATAATTTAAAAAAAGATAATAGTATCTATCAAATAACTTATATTTAGAACCTCCTGGGCCAAATTTAAAAAGGAATACAACAGTTTTATTTAAATATGTAGCGTTTATGGTATGCCAGCCCTTTGCGACTATTTATGATGAGAAATTTTAGATGTCAATATAGAAACGTGCAAGAAGGTACAGAGATTTTCAAAATTCACTTAAGAGGCATCTGAGCATAAAATTTTAAGATTGCTGACCTAGGGCCACTAAGTGATGAATTGTATTTGGAAGCAAAAAGGATAGCTAAGAAGGGCCTCAACCCTTTTAACTTTAAAAGGAATACAACTTAACCTTCAACCTGTGTGACATTTAACTTTTTGAACCCAACCCTAAAAGCTATCTTGTAACCAACAGAAAGTTAATCATTAGATTTGGAAATATACAGAATTATAAAATTGGCATTTAAAAATACACAATAATTTGCTGCTGGTTTTTAATTTTCAAAATATTTTCTTTTTGAAGAGCCAGATCTCACAGTGATCCTGCCTCTCAGAAATTTCCACATTTCTTGTTTTTCATTAGGCCTTAAGAAGCTGCATTTGTAAACTCGTGTTACATTATGAAAGCCTAATTTATTTTTTATATAAATAGTGTGTGCTTTGTGTACACAGAAAATTATGTGAATGAGTCATACGGAGGTTGGCTATTGTTAATGTGAAAATTAAACACCTGTATCACAGTTTGAAAAATAAAAGTTGTATCTGAATGAATATAACAGTCTGCCTAGAACTTTTTAAAAAAACTGCTATTCACCTTTTAAATTACCAAATAAAACACACACACAAAATCATTTAGTCATGAGAGAGGCAGAGTTAGTTATTTTTTGAAATGTGTTTTACTATCCTATTACCACATTTCTGTAGGTAACAGGTTTATCTTACCTTCAGCTAAAACTCACTCTGTCAAAACTCAAGTTTGTAAGATTAATACTTGAGTGCTCTTCAATTTACCAGTTTTTGAAATAATGTTTATTGTTGGAAGGAGCAATGACCTTATTATAAGCCCCTGTATTTCTCAGCTAAGTGACAAGATCCCTAGAACTATCAATCACTACGTTTCTTGCCAGCAATCCCTAGTCCACAGGAAGCCATGCTGTATCTCATAGCTCTGACCCTCAACTCCAAGCCCCCAATGATTAGATTAGTTGCCCTGGTCCAAAGATTTAAGAATAGCCTATGATCAACCTCTGCATTAGAAGATGAGCAAGGAATAGGAAAAAGCAAAGGTGAAATTAGAACTGCCAAATGACCACTTTTAAAAATGGATACAATCGTAACTCTCATAAAGATATAAAATGCACATATGTCAGAAATCTTATTAATTAACAAGGGAACCACTGAGATGCTCCAGCTTGTTCAAAGGAGAATTCAAAGAACAATATATCTATACAGTATAGGTATCAGCTGTCCGGATTATGTGATTTTATATCGTTTCTTCATATTTTATTGTCTGAATAATGCAAATTATTCACGTCGATAGAAATGCAAATTGTATCCTGTGGAGATTCAGTGGATCATTGCCTTGTGGATACTGACCACTGATTTTACCAGTTTTATATCTATTAAATTTATTTCAGCATTGCTGATGGATGAGAAATCTGACTCCTATCTTACTCCACACAAAAAAATTAAGTCAGTTATAGATCAAAATGTGAAAGATAAAACATTATTTCTAGAAGGCCGTCACAACATTGGAGTAGGGAAAGGTTACCTAAGCAAAACTGCAAAAGCAGTATCTCTAAAGGAAGACTGCTAAATTTGACTCTCCTAAAATTCAAAACTGGTCTTCCTCAAAAGATACCATCAGAAGAGAGAAAGGCTAGCCACAGAGTAGAGGGAGATATTTGCAATAATGTATCTGACAAAAGACCTCAGCCAAAAAATAACTCCATCCTTCCAAGTCAGTGAGAATAAGACAATCCATCGGAGGAAAGGGGCGTATTTCATGAATAAGCACCTCACAAGAGTCTATCCAAAGGGCTGATATGTTTATGAAAAAGTTCACTCATTATTCATATGGGAAAAATGAAAATCAGAGCCTTGAGATACTTCTACACCCTTACTAGAGTGGCAAAAATTAAAAGCCTAACATGTTG